AGGAAAGGAAACAGTGACCAGGCGTCCCACCCACCACGCTGTCCACTCCAGAGTGTCAGGTCCACTCGGCGTGACCTGCCTCTTTTTTTCTTTTCTCTCTTCTGCTCTCTCTCTTCTTGAGGGATCAGCGTCTCAGCTGTTTCGCATCCTGCAATTAATGACTCGTGGGTAGCCACGCACGGCTGGGGCGCATTACTGTGACTAGTGTCCTTCCTTATTTAAACCTCTGGCAGATGCTCCATCGTCGCCAGAGCATTAACTTGCATACCCCATAATACCTATACCTATATTCGTGGTATGTATCGTACATCATCTTGTTTTCCACGCTGACAGTTCCTGTGCTTTGGATCTCTTTATATTTTGTCCATTAGGTTAGCTAGGCGTTATTTTTGATATCCACGCTGACAGTTCCTGTGCTGTGGATTTCCTTTTTCATTCGCCAATCCTCCTGGTTAGTTTGTCTATTCACCTGTCCGTCCTGATCCTCCTACGCTCCTGGTTCCTACTGTTAGTCTGCTCTACTCACCCGTTCATTCTGGTCTCCTCCACCAACTCCTTCAACTACAACTCCTTCTGGTTAACTGATGGGGAAGAAAGAAAAGTGAGATGGTTATGATCAGAGAGATAATAGTAATTGTAATAATGGAAAGCAAAAATAAATTGAAGTAACACAGAAAAGAGAGATATAAATCCAACTGGCAAATCTATAATAAACAATAATAATAAAAGAGAAAAAGGGCGGGGACGGGTTATATCCTATTATTGATAATAGTGAATACTATGATAATAATGAAAGCAGTAAGTAATATTCATAATACAGATATTACAGAGTAGTGATACAGCCTAACATTGGGTCATAATAATGTAATGGCAATTGATAATGGTTGATGAATATAATCCAAAAAAGTAATACGAATAATACTATATAGATAAGAGTGTAATTACATTATTAACAATTTGTGTATTTAGTTTTACATTTATAGAGGAGTTAATTAGGTAAGTGCTATAATAGTGTGAGTAATGTAAACACCAGTTATAAAATTTGTAGTAATATAATAATAAAAGTAGCAGCAATAATAATCATAATGATAATAACAACAATAATGGCAATAATAAAAGCAGTTTGTTGGATTTCTAGGAGTCTGCCGGAATGTGCGTGGCTTTGGCCCCTGGTGTCTGGTTTAAAGGTTACAAATTATGCTCATTTTCAGGCTTACATTACTATTTACATGCTTTACATTAGTTTCCTCATAGTGTCTGGCACTCCAGACCCTCTTTTCACACTTGTTTGAGATGCTCCGTTTTGGCTCCTGGCCAACAGTGCTGAACAGGAGCCGCCTACCACCTCCAAACCATTTTTCAGAATAGCTGCCATCTTCAGTGTTAGCTCTTCTAACATCATTAGCATTTCTACCATAAATTTCACCATAATAATACAGGCAGGATTTTTCACACCATTCCACAAAATCAGTGCTAACCAGGCCATGTTCAGTCTGATTATCCCAGAGCAGGCTAACAATCACAGTCATATCATTGGCATATTTTAAAATGGTCCTGTTACAGAAGCTTGGTGAACAACATTTTTGTTTATGAAGAGGTGAATGACCTCATCCTCAACATAAACAAGACAAAAGAAATACACAAGCCCACAAGTTCCTGGGCTTGCAGGTGACATCTGACCTGAGTTGGTCACTGAACACAGCTGCCACAGTGAAGAAAGCCCAGCAGCGGCTATACTTCATCGGGCAGCTCATGAAAGCTGGGCTGAACCGTCGCCCTCTCACCCAGGCTTATACAGGACTGATAGAAAGCATCCTCACTACTGGCATCACAGTCTGGTATGGTAACACCACACAGGCAGAGAGGAAGGCTCTTCAAAGGGTCATAAAGACTGCAGAGAGGATCAGTGGGACTAAGCTTCCTGTTATAGACACACTATACACACAGCGCTGTCATACAAGGGCAAAGAACATAATCAGGGATCCACACCACCCAGCTCACTCTGCTCAGACACAAAAACTGCTGTCTTACAGCTGTCTGTAAGTGGGCCTGAAGACTCCGATATTTTCTCCCTGAAGGCAGGAGTCTGAAGTGGGAATTTGCGGGGTGGGAGGTGTCATTAGCAATGCTGATGGCTCTCCGAATGAGGCAGGTGTTGAAGATGTCCGAAAGGGAAGGCAGAGGGGCACTGATGATATTGCTGGCTGTTTTCACTATGCGTTGCAGGGTCTCCTCAGTTTGCGCAGGAAGTAGAGGCGTGTTTGAGCTTTCTTGGCCAGTGATGTGGTGTTGTTGGTCCAGGAGAGGTCCTCAGAGATGTGCAGCCCCAGGAACATGGTGCTGCTCACTCTCTCCACTACAGCACCGTTAATGGTCAGTGGGGGATGCTTTAGAGGTTTTCTCCTGAAGTCCACAACGATCTCTTCAGTCTTCTCTACACTGAGAAAGAGGTTGTTGTCCTTACACCACTGGACAAGTTGGCACACCTCACTCCTGTAGTTGGTCTCATTACCAACAATGATGAGGCCAACTACAGTCGTGTTATCCGCAAACTTGACAATGTGGTTGGTGCTGTAGGTTGGCACACAGTCGTGGGTCAGCAGTGTGAAAAGCAATGGGCTGAGCACACAGCCCTGCGGAGCCCCTGTGCTCAGGGTGATGGTCTTGGTTGCTGCCGACCTGCATATTTTGTGGCTTCCCTGTTAGAAGATCCAGCACCCAGTTGCAGAGAGAGGTTTTGAGTCCCAGGTGTTCAAGTTTTTGTGTAAGCTGCATGGGGAATTATTGTGCTGAATGCTTTAGGAACAGCATTCGCATGTAAGAGTTCTTTGAATCTAGGTGGGTGAGGCCTGGATGGAGAACAGCAGTAATGGCATCCTCTGTGGACCTGTTTGACCTGTATGCAAACTGAAATGGGTCGTGAGAGGGAGGAAAGATGGACTTGATGTTTTGCATGACCAGCTGCTCGAAGCACTTCATAATAATTGAAGTCAGTGCTACAGGCTGATAGTCATTGTAACTGGTTTGGTGGGGCTTTATTGGAATTGGAATTGGTGGCCTTGAAACACGTGGGAACAACTGCTTGGCTCAGAGAGATGTTAAAGATATCCATGAGGACATCCCTGAGCTCCTCAGCACAGTCGTTTAAAACACAACCAGGTATGTTATCTGGTCCAGCTGCCTTGCGTGGGTTAATCCTGGAGAGGGTCTTCTTCACGCTGACTGTGGACAGATACACAGCCTGCTCACCTGGGGGAGGGGTGGTCCTCTGTGCTGGTATGTTGTTCTATGTTTCAAAGTGGCCGAAGAAGTCATTGAGGTTGTCCAGCAGAGAGATGTCACTGTCACAATTCCAAGGTGGGGGTTTATAGCCTGTGAGGGTTTGGATGCCCCGCCAGAGACTCTGTGCATCTCTGGTGTTGCTGAAGTATCCAGATATTTTCTTGCTGTATTGGCGTTTTGCCTCCCTGATTCCACGGGACAGGTTGGTGCTTGCTGTTGCTAGGCCTGCAGTGTCACCGGCCCTAAAGGCTGCATCCCTAGCCCTCAGGAGTCTGTGAACCTCACCTGTCATCCATGGCTTCTGGTTGGCACGAGCACTGATATTTTTGCAGTAAGTGCAGTAAGAGCACTGATATTTTTGCAGTAAGTGTCAAAACGGTCTTTCAGAGCATAAGAAGCCCTCTCCTGCCACACATGTACCCCCTTTTGTGTTGGTCTGATGGCTTTCGCTCTGGGTCTGTATGCAGGTCTCAGCATGATGGTGATGTGATCAGAGAGACCCAGGTGGGGGAGGGGGAGGCTTTGTATGCTCTCTTGCATGCAGTGTACACAAAGTCCAATGTGTTGTCTCCTTTTGTCGGAAAGTCTACATGTTGGTGCAGATTGGGCAGTAAAACCTTTAAATCCACGTGATTGAAGTCCCCAGCTATGATGAGGAATCGTCTGTCTGTTGTTCACTGATGGCCTGGTAGAGTTCATCTAGTGCCTCACTCCTATTGCTGGTGTTAGCGGTGGGGGGAATGTATGCAGTTTATGCTGTTTATGCAAAAATGGCAAAAATCTTGAATCCTTGATTCCTCTTACCTGTTTTTACACATCTTTGTATACAGGATGGATTCGTGTCATGATGGGGTAGAGGATTTTTGATTGTTTAATCACCCTGGAAATTGATTAAGTCCATAGTTTGTATCCTTCAGCTCCTTTCCTTTGCTTTAAATGAGTTCTTTGTGTTTGTAATGTTCCAGTTTGGCCTTTATGGGTTGGGTTGCTTTGTTTGAGTGTGATCCAAGATGGTGTACATGGTGGAGACCAATCTTGTTGATAGCGTCTGGTGAGATTTTGATTTGGTTTTCATAATGTCCTTATTATAGTCTTGCTGTTTCCATGTGGAATCTCTATCATTGCCCAATGTGTTTTTTGAGGAGGCACACATTAGCTGCAGTGTAGTGTACATTGCAACCTTGAAGCCTACATCTATAGGTATTTAAAAATGGTTCCGCTGACTTCTTGTTCTAACCCAGCTACTTTCAGTAGGCATCTTTTAAGAAGATCCTGAAAATCCATCCGTTATCTCTACCCATTATTCCTAAATAGGGTTGCAGGGGGGCTGGAGCCAATCCTAACTGACAGTGGGCGAGAGGCAGGGTCCACCCTGGACAGGTCGCCAGCCTATCACAGGGCTATGCTGAAAATCAATAGCCTGCAATGACAAGTAATATCAGACATTTTCATAAGAATAGCAAATGTGAATTCATCCACTGCAGAAAACAGCCCCCAACAAATTGATTATTTCATCCTGTCTAAATGTTTGCTGAAAACTACAGTGACAAACCAAAATTAAACAATATACAGTATTTGTAAGCCATATTTAAAGATTTATTTTTAGTAGGAACAAGTGGACTCTGAGAAGAAAGTGAGTTTGACTACCACCTGGTTAGTTTTGACATGCAAGAAAAAACACAGACTGATCCTTGAATCAGCAGATATCAAAAAGCTGCTGACAGTCTTCTATAGGATTACAACAGCTGGAAGATGCTGTCAAAATCAGAGTTACAACATATCAATTGGATGTTGATTTAGGATTATTTATACAAAACTGCATTATTGTTTGTTTCAGAACAAGACAGAAGGAACCATATGGAAAGAGATTGATGATCTTAAGGTGTTCAAAGTTCTGGATCTAGAAGAGTTCCAGCGGACCTTTTCGGCTTACCAGAGGCCACAAGTAACATACTGCACAATACACTGACACTAAACGTATAACATCATTCATACCTTCAGCAACACCATCATTTTTGTTTTGCCTTTTATTTTATGTTAATGAAATTTTTGTACCATTGGCTATGGTGGTGTTTCAGTGCCACACTAAATAAAATAAAATTAAAGAGATTAAAGAGATTAAATTAGGAATCTTAGCAGAATAAAGTCAAAATATTCTGGCAATAAAATAATATTATGAAAACAAAATTGCAATAATTTCTGAATAAATTCAGATTTCATAGAGATTGGCTTAGATCATGTATTGTATAAGCCTAGGCCAGTTTTCTCTCAGGAAGAACTTGTATCCTTCTAAAGAAAGAGAGCATACTCTGTGTTAGCCTAAAAATGGAAGTGTAGGATTTAGTAAAAGAATAGGATTATGTCTACATCATGCTCTTACAACAAAACTATACAGTCATGACTCATGATTAATACCATGCACAGGACTTGAAAGTTAGTCAGTAGGGTACTTAACAGGCACAACATATTGTACATTCTAAACAATTCCAAGATTTCAAAATAAATGTAATAAATGACTTAATGACTTTTTCCACTATCACTTTGTATGTTTAACAGGTGTGTTCAATGGAGACATGAAAGATCAGGACTGTTTGTGTTTTACGAGCTTAGAAATATTGTGTTTGTTGATATTTGTGACTTTGGTGAAGAGCAGATCACATTTCATGATCATTTTATATTATTTTATATATTATATTATTTTAAATACAGAAAGCCATTACTTTTCCTTGCAACTGTATGTTGCTGATGGCAGATAAAGATAGTCTGTGCACTGCTGTCACTCACTTAGGGAGTGGAGATGTTATGATCCCCTTTAAGGGTATCTGATGTTGTATTGGATGATTTTTCAGGTAATTAATGTCAAAACATGTTTAAATTTTTTGTTGAGGTTACAAAGAATATGTAAAATGTAATATGTAAAACATCAACTCCCCCAAAGAAGATAACACTAACATTTAAAACACATAACTTGTCACCGTAATTCACACCGTATCCATCAAAACCAAATTACTATGAGTATTCAGACAGTGACTGTGCAAGAAGTTGCATTTATAGTACAGAGGACAAATAAGACCACAGATATTTTTGAAATTGCTTCCTTTGTTGAATCAGAAATGGCAACCAGTGTTGGAATGAAGTCAGAATGTTTGACATTAAAGTTAAAATATTCTGACTGTATTCTTGGAGGATTCTAATTTTAATCTCACAGTTTTCATTAGTTTTGGAGTCTGGCACTAAAACGCTGTTGTATTGGCATATCTATCAATCCAGTTATGGATCATAAATGAAGCCACACTGTTCACATTCAGATGAATTTACAAGTAAATTTACTGTCTTTTCTAGTATGCCTATCAGTATACCTATTCTCCATTGTGACTGTCTCAAAAGCCAAGAGTAGCTGCAGTTGCTAATGACGTTTAAATGCTTTTCTTGAATTGATTAGCATTTTCTCAGTCTTTAGTGATAAATAATCTACTTCATGAATAGATTTTATTTTCTGTATCACTTTGTTGTACTAATGTTTATTGTTTTAAACAAAACACAAGATAATACTGTGTTGCTGTACTGTATTGTCTTTTCTTACATTCTGACCCTTTTTATATATCAACAGAAAGATGTTGAGGATGACCAACCTCTTGTTAAGAAAGTCAAAGAGCTGTCAGTAATCGATGGTCGTCGAGCGCAAAACTGTAACATTCTGCTCTCACGGTCAGTGTGTGTGTGTGTGTGTGAGAGGATTATGTTGATAATGGCAATTAGACATTAAAGGATAAGGCCAGCTATCTTCTATAATGCCATCATTTCAGACACTCCCCATACTAAAACCAGACTGAAGCCAACACTGCTCACATCTGTCAGTCTGTCAGTCCTGGATTATTTTATTCATCTGTGCCATACACCTCCACTGTTGTTCAAAAACATTTAAAAACACATTGGGGAGACACACCACCGAACTAGTTGACATATTTCTTCATTATAAAACACAAATATTTTATTAAAATGTCACCCCAACATTTTACAGCATCTGAAGTAACCAAGAGTCAAGGGCACATGCACAAGATCTCTGGATATTTTGGGGTTTTGCATTACACAAGATCTCTGGATATTTTGGGGTTTTGTGTTAATTTAAAAAAATGGCTGGCCTTATCTTTTAACTCTCTTTGATGCTGTTAGCAGCCTGGATATGCTCTTCACCTCCACTCCAGGATCCCACATAATGCCTCACTGGGTGGGATGTACAGTCAGGGAAAAAATTATTTGAACCCCAGCTGATTTTGTAAATTTGCCCACTAACAAAGAAATGATCAGTTTACAATGTCAATGGTAGGTTTATGTGAACAGTGAGAGACACAACAATAACAAAAAAATCCAGAAAAATGCATTACAAAAAAAGTTATAAAGTAATTTGCATTTTCATGAATGAAATAAGTATTTGATCCCTTTGCAAAACGTGCTTTAGTACTTGGTGGCAAAACCTTTGTTGGCAATCACAGAGGTCAGA